GCAGAGACACTAGAGCGGTGGAGCTCAGGGTGGACAGCAAGTCCGCTCTGGCCCTGGCAAAGAACCCCGTGTTCCACGAACGCAGCAAGCACATCCGGGTGAGGTACCACTTCATCCGAGGCTGTTTGGAGGAAGGGAGCATCAAGGCGAACTACATCAACACCAAGGACCAGCTTGCGGACCTGCTCACCAAGCCCCTTGGGAGGATCAAGTTCCTTGAGCTCTGCTCCAGGACCGGGATGGTTCAACTCTCCCACAAGACGACGCACAAGACTTAGGGGGAGAATGATGGATAAGTCATGTGTGGCTGGTCTTTGTGGGGCTGTTGTTGCTCACATGGTCCTTGTGGCTGTTTTTCTGTTTTTAGGACAGCATCTTAGACTAGAGGACAGCATCTTAGAGGACAGCATCTTAGACTAGAGGACAGCATCTTAGCTAGGACAGCATATTAGCATCTTAGACTAGCATCTTAGACTAGCATCTTGGCATATGCTTGGCTGGCTAGCAGCCTATAAATATGTAACCCCAACCCCTCAGGTTGGTATGGCATTTGTGTGAGCTTGTGTGAGAAATAGACAAGAAAATTGCCCCAACTCCTAGTGTCATCCTCTCTCGATGAGAGTAAGAATTCTCCTACTACCAAGAGTGAGAATTCAGCGACTAACACGCATACAGTTGGCTCGGCAGCATCGCGCTCCAGCACCTCGAGCTCCTCGGCGCCTTGTGTCCCCAACGCCATGGCGTGCACATGCTGGCTGACACCCGAGGTACACCACGTACGACGACAGCTCGCCGGACGCCGGACGCAGCAGCAAGCAAGAGCGAGCGCCGAGCCGCCGAGAACATGAGGGCGGTGAGGACGGGCACTATCGACGCGGTCACGATCGCCGGAAGGCTGCTCCACCGGCCGCGCCGCGGTGCCCTCACCAGCACCGGGATAAAGGTGGATCGAACCGCTGGATCTTTCAGTTCGGTGGTTTCTGATCCATCGATCCTGATCCTCTATCTGTTGTTAGAATGGAGCCCATTTGGATAGTTTTTATGGGCCGGTTCGATGAACCGCCCCACAGAACCGAACCACGCCCATCTTTAAATCAAATCAAGTTGTCAAATGTATGAAGTACATCTCCCAGAATATGAAAGACATTTGCATTAAATTTCACAGCTAAAAGATGAGTCATGTGAATCAAGAAATGGTCAAATACAGTGAGGTAGATGGTGAAACTTATCACACAATGCATCCAGTCAACGACTGTACTAACAAAAGAAATTAAGAAAGCAACATACCCTACTAATCTGATAGATTTTGAAGAATCGAAGAATTGTAAACAGAACTATCCACACTTGTTAGCATTTGCTACCTGGAAGATAGCTACAATAGTTCAACATTAACATATTTATGTTTATGTTGCTGTCCAAATTTAAAATCCACATTAGCTCATTTTTGTAAGACAAACATAACATATGGATGAGAGAGGAAATTCTTATACATTATAACCCATAGTGAGCATGCCGTGGACCGACTAAATCTAAGGTCTGAAAAATGTAGACTTTTGGAGTAGAAAACTTATCTTTTATACTGACACCCTTGATGAACTGTGGGGATACTGACACCCTTGATGAACTGTGGGGCCGCAAGAGAAGGCAAGATCTTTTGAGTAAAAGACTCAAAATCTTTTCAGCACGCTGGTCCTTCCCATTGATCCATTTATCACAAACTCTGTTTTTCACAAACAACACAAAGTACAGACTATAGAAAGTAAGAAATGAGGAAAAAACATACTAGAACAACAAATGATAAATTTCTATCGACTCAAGTGCTCCCACAATGCAACTACTGAGGAATGAAAACACAACACATTATAGCCGGCAATAGCAAATGCATGTGACTTCATTAATAAAAATGTCACCATAATGCAACACTAACAGAAATACAACACAGGGAGCAGCAACATCAAAATGCTCACAGATTCTAGCAGCGAGGAGAGGATAATCTACACCAGGAAGATCTTTAACAAGCAAGTCAATCATCCACAACATAGAGAATTGTGGATTGATTGTTTTATAAAAGATAGATTGAACATAGACTTGAAAAACATGCCATTTAATAGCTAAACCAGAAACACCTGAAGCATCTTCCAGTTTCCAGTGGTGCCTAAACAATTTGGAAACAGAAGTGGAGCTGCTGCGCTGCCACCGTCACCGCCATCAGTAATGCATTGGGGCCACCATTCCTGACCTATCGTCGATGCTAAAATCCAGTATCCAGCAGCTTGTTAGTCTCAGCAAACTCACCTTCCACTGGAATGGCATCTTCTTCCACCAAAAAACAAAACTGATGAATTTCATGTTAACTTTGTCCTACATGACAGAAGCTGTAAAGCTAAAAAAATCCAGCAGCTTGTTAGTTTACTCCAAGTACCACAACTCTTCTTTCAAATCAATCACAATCGAATTTTCTTATTCTTAACCAAATAGCATTGTAAAAAAATGACTTTTTTCAGAATTAAGCCATCTTGATCAACCAGGAGCACCCTGCGCTGTCATTCTCCTAGGCACCAAAAAGAAAAATCCTTGGCAACCACCATTCACAAGACAAGGAAATGCTTCCATAAACAAAATCATCGATGCCTTACATCTGTATTACGTAGCCGGTGGTCACAAAATGCGAATCCCTGGCATGTGAGTATCATCCAACAAAACCAGGCCATGGTTTGAATCTATGATCAATTTCCTACTCTGTTCAGACAATACACCATGCCCTAACTGCTCCTAAAAGAGCAAGAAGAAACACTCAGCAGATTAGCTAACAATTTTCCCAACTGGTTACAAGCCGCCATTAACCAGGTGCCCTGCAATGCCTCAGCAAAAGCAGTACAGGTATGGACTGAGTGCACTGAATGGATCCTTAGCAAACCAAATCACGCTTGCCAATGCCATTTGATTGCTCGTGTTATTACTTGGGCATAATATGATGCATGTCTCAAGCTTCTACCTTCTCATAGAAAAGAAGGAAAGCCTCGCACTTGAGAACTTCGTCTAGGGAGACTTCTCTAATGCTTTTATCATTTGCACGAAACCAACAGGAAGAGCTACTGCTCGTCTCCTGCTCGCTGAAAATCCTGCTTCCTCTCACATAAGCGACAAAGTGCCCCACTGTTACGGTCCTCCCGCAATGCTCAATGACACCAACTAGACAATATCTAGCATTATCTTTGTCCCCACACCTGAAGGTTTGCACAATAATAATTCAAAAGGTCAAACAAACGAAATTTTAGATTAGCTATCAACATCACTAACAAGAAAATACTACCAGATTAACAGTTTTGACATATATCAAGTGACTAGCTGATTCCAAAACATAAAACAGAATTAGTGCCACACAGAAAAATTGTAATAATAGTCTCATTTCATTTTTTTTTTATGCGCACAAAAAGGGAAGTAAAATCCTTAGCTGTTCCATTTTGCAGAAAGGGATCACATAGCCATTGGCACATGTCGTAAATCGCCTCTCTGTGAGACCAAAGACCAGACAGTCAGCTCAATTCAATTAGACTTCCCAATCAGCATGCAATGGAAGTACTAGATGCTAGTTGCCTATTGTCCCATTTTCATAGTACAGTTAGATACTAAAAAAGCATAACTAAACTATTATAGAAATCTTTGTTCTGTACCATTTTTTTACAAAATTTTCAGACCTTTTTCAACACTGCTGCTACTTTTGTGCATATACTACAGAGGTCACACTTGGGTCACCAGGAGTGACAAAAACCCAGCAGAAACAACAGGAAACAAAAGAAACCCAACTAGCACGAGACAAAGTGATAAATTATTAAGAACTCAAACAAATTTATTTCTAGCACTACTCCAGGACAGACAATGGCAACTAGAAATTCTTTTATCTTTTATAGACATAAAAGAATCTCCTGAATCAACAAAATTGAAACATGCAGTCTAAACAACTCTTTTTTTGAACTAAAGACCATATCTTCTTCAATCTTTCCTAAAGATACTGAACAAACTATGAAATAAAAAGTAGCTACTGCAATGAGAAACTTCAAACTGCACAAAAGTAATAACTATTGCAGTAAAAACTTCGAACTTGGGTCTTCTCCCACTTGGCTTGCAGTATTTTCTAGCTCCACTTGTCATGTTCTGTGTCCAGATTTAGTGCGCTGGCATTTTTATTATCATGGCACTCAACAGGTTGCTCTTTTCCTCCACTTTTCCGTGATGGTCACATTCAGCTCGGACCGTCAAGTGATGTGCTTTCACTGATGTATGCCACCATCTGTCCTCTATCTTTGCTTTGACTGGTGGGGCAAGAGAAAGCAAAATCTTTTCAGCACGCTGGTCCTTCCCATTGATCCCTTATCACAAAGCCTGTTTATCACAAATGAAATGAACACAAAATACAGAAAGTAAGAAACAAGGAAAAAACGTACTAGGACAACAAATAATAAATTCCCATACAATGAAGTGCTCCCACAATGCAACTACTTAAGTATGAATACATTGTGGATCCATTGTTTTATAAAAGATAGATTAAGCATAGACTTGAAAAACATACCATTTAATAACAAAACCAGAAGCACCTGAAGCATCTTCCAAATTTCTAGTGGTGCCTAAACAAATTGAAAAGAGATGATCTAGCACAAGCAAAGAAATCTGCACCAAATCATATAGGCACAGACAACAATACTATATATGGAACCTAAAATCCAGATATTTTCTGTTTCAAAACTTAATATTTCTGATTTCAGATACTTATAGCTGCACAATTAAGCAATACGACATTAAAGATACTTATAGCTGCACAATTAAGCAATAATGAAGATGCTGAATTTTGATAGGGCCGGGAAGGGGAGGGCATGTACCTTGAGCAAAGAGAGCAGCAACACCTGTAACTGTAAGCAGCGAGTAAACAGAAACTTGAAGAATGGGTTAGAAAACGCACCTGGCGCCAGCAATCAAACACATACCGAACGCACCGACCAAACCTAACACATATCCATCTCCGGGGGAGGAGGTGGGAGCTGTTCAGGTGTCGCCACTACCGCTGCAGCCGGCTGCTGCGGCGGCAGATGGTACTTCATGGCGTACACCCCATACACGGGCATGTAGTAGACGATGTTCACGCACGTCATGAGCACGATCGCGGCGATGCCGAGGTACACCCAGACGCGGAAGATCGGTACCCAGAAGCGGGCCACGGGCCACCTCGGGATCTGTAGTGAAGGAGAGGACCTTGATGATGCAGAGCACAACGTGGAGCCCGACCATAGCCATGCCCCAGGCGCGGCCCATGCCGCCGAACACGCAGGACACAGCGTACGGAAAAATCAGCTTCACCTTCATCGGCGGCGAGGGACGCTTCTCATCCTGCGCCGCTGCGGGTGGGGCCGGAGGTGGGCTCAGCATCGCAGAAGGAGCCGAAGGGGCGACGACTCGAGAGGAGCTGGGATCGAGCGAGGAGAGAGGAGCACCTGCTGACATCGGGCCAGGAGGGAGGAGCACCAACGGCCTCGCCGGAATCGATCAAGGGAGCCGCCGGGTCGAGATCGCGAAGCGCGCGCGGAGCTGTGGTCGGGACTCAGGAGATCGAGATCGGGATGGGGGAATCGAAAACTCTGGGGATCGATTGCTCTGGGAGGCGGGGGGAAGCGGCGCCGACGCGCTAGGGTTTTATTGCCCGGGAAGATGAGTCGCAGAGTGGGTTCATGGAATTCTGGTGTCGCGTAACCCTCACGCGCCAACCTGGAGGAAGAAGAAGAGTCGGAATCGGCTGCTCGGCCTCCCGCCTCCGCTCCGGCGCGGGGTGGTTTAACCGCGGGTTTTTTCGTTATACCGACTTTACCCTTGAGCTCTTTTTTAAAAATAAATAAATAAATAATAGGATTTTTCATTATTAGCGTCTTTACCCCTTGAGCCTTGACGACAAAAATAAAATAAAATAAATGGGTGCATTGGTGTAAGCTTCACGCAAAAACAAAAAATAATTTGTTTATCGATTTAAACCCATAAATAAATCTTCGTTTGGCATATTGATGTTGAGAATAGCTCCATATATTGATTCCAAGTTCATAAGAGTTGTTCTGCAAGCATCATACAATGGTCTAGTATTTTTTTGGATTTTTTTTAAAAAAATGCATAGTGTAAAGGAAAATGATATATAAAATAGATTTGTACCGATTAGTTTAGACAAATTAATTTTCAACCTCTGTCTCTTTAGCGTCCTCCGCTGCAGCGGTTTGTGATCACCATGGTCCCCCTCCTTCCGGTGGGGCACCTTCGCTGGCTATAAAAGGAGCAGGGACCTTCCTCCGTAATTTAAGTCCGGTAGTTTTTAGGGTTTTAGATTAAATTGAATAAAGTTTGTGCCATCCATCTCATGGGCAACTGACGGTATCGTCATTGTTGATTGCTTGCTAGATCTCTTATTTATCACAAATAATATTTTTAGTGCATGTGTTGTTCTAATCATCCAATCTAGTGTTTTTCTAGTTGATTTTGTTTTTGCAAGGACGATGCAATTGGAGGGGTAATCGAGTTCTTGTTTGTATCTTTGTGTTACCATCTCGTTGGATTTAAATCTCAGCATCTCGCGATGGCCAAACGTGTATCCGGGCTTCTAGATCAAGCATTGCTGGTATTGGCAATTGATATTCTCTCAATGTGTCTCATGAGTGGGTTGATGCTCGTTCCATGGATTAAGTAAAAACTATATCACTTTATTTCAGATGAATAAGATCTGTCACATAACTACACAAACCTCATGTCAATTCGACGTACTACTTCTAAACTTGTTCATCTTCCAAAGTATTTCAAAGTTCCTATTGTTTTTCTTTTCCCACTGGCATGGTTTTGCCCGAGAGTCCAAGGTGCATGGGGTTGGTTCGGATGTCGATCACTTGTTCAAGATGATGCTTCCATTACAGATTTGGTCAGGGTTCAGAAAACAAACTAGTTGCTCATTGCGTATACCAACACTTATTAGGACTACTTCCTCCGTCGCACAATAAAAGATATGATAGTATTCAAAATATGTCTAAAAAATAACGTTTGGTGGAGGTACTGTGAGAAAAAAAACAAAAAAAGGAAAAATAAGACAGATCAGAATACGAGAAAAAGAAAATCCAGAGTGGAAAAAAATATAGAAGATAGATATGGATGAAGAAAGTCACACCCGAAAGAAAAGATAGATTAAATTGAAGGTGTTGAAATATGTATTTATATATCTAGTCCAAACTATAAATAAAGTTAAAAATTATCCAAACAAGTGGTGGAGCCAGAGGCTTTTAGAAGCTTAGCGATTCTCATCATGCAAAAATATTACCTAGCAAATTACAGTGTTCTTTGATATAAAGAATATTTTCTTTTGAGCTTTGCCGACGAGCCCGGCCATTCTTTGATATAAAGAATATTTTCTTTTGAGCTTTGCCGACGAGCCCGGCCAGCTGCATGGGGTGGCCTGTCGGTGGCTCCGTACTGGTCTAAACGCTCTCAATGTATCTTCAGCTATAGGTCTAGGATTTCCTTGAGCTATGAATATTCTAGCTCAAAAAAACCCATGAGAGACTCAACTTCAAAACCCATGTAATATCGGTGTAAAAATGCTCCACTAGCCTAGCCCTTAACATCGTCTCCCCCTTGGGAATCCTGTTTCTTGCTTCTACGGTACAAATTAGGAAAACTCATTGGCCCATGTTGGTTTTTATTAATTCAGTTGCTTGTAATATTTAGGGCTTCAGTTGCTTGTAATATTTAGACTTTGTTTAGGACTGCTCTGCTCCACTAAACCAATTATATTCTATTATGGAACATTTCCACTCTAGAGTTACAATTGCACTGTGGAGGAAAGGTGGATCAGACATATTGTCATGAAGTCTTGCTCCAGCTCCTGGAATGCAAGGCTTTCCTATGAATGACCTAATATGTCCTTGGATGATCTGTGTAGTGCATAATTTGAAATATGTAAGCATGTGTGGGTGACTGTATTTCTTTTTTATGAGTTGAAAATCCCATTTTTTAACATATGAATAAATGTCATACTGGTACAGGTGTCCACACTATTAGAGAACAAACTTTAGAACGATGTCCCAATTTAGCATTAGCCTCGGCATTTTTTTGCCCCCAGAACTAAAGGACCCTTTAGACCCGGTTGGTAATACCAACCGGGACTAAAGGTCCTTGCCCAACGGTCCTCCGCGGGGCAGGGATCTTTAGTCCCGGCTGGTATTACCAACCGGGACTTACCTACCAACCGGGACTAAAGCTTTTAGTCCCGGTTTGGGTGATGCTCCGGGAATAAAGATTAATCTTTAGTCCCGGTTTGGATCCCTAACCGGGACTAATTATCCCGGCCTATAATTTAGCTCATTTCTTCCTCCCCGAGCCCGAGCCATTGCATTCAAACTCACTGCCTCTGTTTCTTCACTTTTTGTTGTTCTTGCTCTCTCCCCTCCATTGGTGTTGCTCTTGATTTTGGAGGTAAGAAACTTAATCCTCTTATGTTTTGTCAAGTAGCTTATCTCATTTTGCGATGTAGATGCATGTGTAACTTTATATGTTGGACTTTATTATGATTTTATATGTCATTTTTAGCTCAAAATCACATGATGATTTGCATATATGTTTGGATAAACAAAAGTTAAATTAGTTCATCAAAATCACGCCTCGCTTCGTCCTCATTTGGAGCACGCGCCATCCTCGTCCCCTAAGTGGCTTACGTGATCTTAGAATTAATTTTTCCATGAAATGAAAAACTTAGAAAATTGTTAGAAAATTATAGAAAATCCGTACTAGTTGAACTTGCGGACCGTGTTCATCTCGGCGAGCATGTTCTCTGCCGAGCGGTAACGGACGTCAAGGAGGAGCTTTGATTCTATGAGGGAGAGCGGCAACGGTCGTGGAAGACCGTGTTCTCTTTCTCGTAGAATCGGAGCTCTTCCTTGGCCAAGTACGGTGCCGTCCGGTGGAGAAATGCTCGCGAGATGATCACGTAAGCAAGGTCAACTAGTACGGATGGTTATTTATTGAAACATGTGAAATCCATACTAGTTTAGGTTAAATATATCATTTTAGAAAATATGAAATTTACACTAGTTTGCAAAAATAAGTATAGAAAGTAGATGACAACTGGTACGGGATCCTCGGCCTCTCGTTCGGTTGCTTGAACGATCGAGGCCGAACTCCCCTCTCATTATCTGCGGCAAGTGTAAGCAGAAGATTGTGATGGAGTACCGAGTCAAGAGACAGGGACCCAACAAGGGTCATGTTTTCTACAAGTGCCCGGATCGCGATGTGAGTTTCTTACGCATTTTTTATTTATGGCTAATTGACCTGTTTTTCTTGAATATTTTTGACTAAATATTTTTTGGCTTTAATTTCAGTGGGAGGGCAATGGATGCGATGGTTGGTACTGGGAGGAAGATTATGCTACATACGTGCAGAATTTGGGTGCGCTTGAGGTAGCGGCTGCTGCTGATGAGTCAGTGAGCCAGCAGGAGAAGTTTATTGATATTCAACAGAAGAATGATTTGTCTGTTTTAGTTGCGTACGATCACGAAATAATTATGTTACTGAAGTGCATTATAGTTTTAGTTTGTTTAGTGATAGTTGGGATTGCTTACGTTGTAGCCAGGCTTAGTTAATTAATCAATCGTGTGTGTGTCATTTATGTTGTGTAATAAAATACTTAATTATGTTTAAGGTTTTCATAATTTGTCATGTAATACAGATTATGTCACGCCATTGGATGTACAATGCCGATCGCCGCTCCCAAGACTTTATTGAGGGCTTGCACTATTTCTTAGGTGTGGCCGAGGCAAATAAGCGGGATGGTTTTATGTGCTGTCCATGTGCCCTATGTAAGAATTTAAAGGAATATTCAAGCTCAATGAGTCTTCATTCACATTTGCTTAAGTCAAGTTTCATGTCAAACTATATATGTTGGACTAAGTATGGAGAAAGCGGGGTAATGATGGAAGAAGGTGAAGGAGAACCAATCAAAATAGTGGTGTTCGCATAGATGGCACAGATTCAAATGGGAATATACAAACATATTATGGCCGTATAGAAGATATATGGGAACTAGACTACGCACCTAATTTTAAAGTCCCTTTGTTCCGGTGCCAATGGGTGAAGCTGACCGGAGGAGGGGTAACAGTCGACAAAGAGTATGGAATGACAACAGTGGACCTCAACAATATTGGGTACAAAGACGAACCATTCGTCCTTGCTGCCGATGTGAGTTAGGTGTTCTATGTGAAAGACATGTCTACAAAATCAAAGAGAGGAAAAAACGAAGACATCAACTCAATGATCAATGAGCCAAAGCACCACATAGTTCTTTCTGGGAAAATAAATATAGTGGGAATTGAAGACAAGTCAGACATGTCAGAAGATTACGAAAGAAATGT